ATTTTAAATCTAACCCCAACTTTACTCAGGCCAAAAAAAGAATTCTGTGTTCACATTGGGCCTTTTTTATACATCCCAGCGAATGTTTTGTTGTTAATTTGTTGAATAACAGAAGAAGAAGAAGAAAAAGGAATATAACTCAAATACAGTTGACAAATAAAATTTTCTGTTAGCAAACAAAAAAAAAAAATAATAAATAATGTATCTAAGAAAATTTTCAACGAATTGACTTTTGAAATGAAAGTTTATAAAATCTCCCTCCAGTTTGCAATTAACTATGTCTGTCTGGACGCCCTTAGAATCTAATCCTGAGGTGTTGACCAAATACATACACACATTTGGTGTTACCAAGGATTGGGTTATAACTGACGTAATGGGCCTGGAACCTGATATGCTAGAATGGATACCAAAGCCAGTGAAGTCTATAATTTTATTGTTTCCTTGTTCTGAAATCTATGAAAAGCATCGCGCTGAAGAACAGAAACGTCTAGCTGAAACTGAACCAACTTATCCCAAGGATTTGTTTTATATGCGTCAATTTAGCCAAAATGCTTGTGGAACTGTAGCTCTCATACACAGCGTAGCTAACAATGAGGATATCTTGTTAGGTGAAGGCATTTTAAAAGATTTCTTGGACTTGACCAAAGATATGGCACCAGAAGAACGTGGCAAGGCTTTAGAAGCTGATAAGGCTGTGCGTGAGAGTCACCAAGCTTTGGCTCAAGAAGGTCAAACCATATCAGATCCTAATGAGGAAGTTTATCATCATTTTGTCGCTTTCGTTAACAAGGCGAGCACTCTATATGAACTCGACGGTCGTAAAATGTTCCCTATTGAACACGGAGCCACGAGCAATGAAACTTTTCTCCAAGATGCAGCTCGTGTTTGCAAAGAATTCATTGCTCGTGACCCTGAGGAATTACGCTTTACTGTTCTAGCGTTAAGTGCTGCCGTGAAATAATCTGACGTTTTCCTTTACATTATCAATATTTCTCTATTTGGATAAAATCGCTTACTAAGCATTCGCAATTCGGGCTATTTTTACATGATTTTCAGTTTCTATAATGAGTTGTCAAAATTAAATAAATTTGATTAAAATTGACTATTTGGTTTCCCATCATTTTATGTCGGTTTAGAGATTATCATTTCTAAATACAATATATGTGTATGTGTAGTTAACTTTCTCTCTTACGCTCTCTTTTATGCTGACGTGCTTTAATTCAAGGACAAGCCCCATTGAAAAGGGATTGCATCGGGCGATTTTTTCATCATACGTAGAAATCACAATTGCCACTTCAAAATGTTAGATCAGAAGCCTAATATCATCATGGATTTTGATATGAAGCCATAAGTAATGCTTGCCATGTAGGAATCTAATTGACGCTTGCACGTAATGTTGGACCGCTGTTACACGTATTCGATAAAACAACTTTTTTTATTTAAAAAGAAATAAATAAAACAGACAAGTATCGAACGTTCCGTTTCGAATTCATCAAAAATCGAAACTTCAATCAATATATCTCGAAACGCATAAACTTTGTTTTTGGTGGTTGTGGCAAATTACTACACGGTTCTTTTGCAGCATCACAAATTGCTGGTATCCTGCCAAATTAAAGCAATTTTGTTAGAGTTCGTTTTTATTTATATTTGTTTTTTAAGATTTTTCAAGTTCCAATTTGAAAACTCATTCAATCCAAGCAATTATTTCGATTTTCTAAGACCTTGCTATGGAATATTATAAAGCAAGAGCCACGTGGGAACATATGAAAATCAAAACGACTTCTTTACTCTTGAGCATTCTGGTAAAAACCGTGCATTTTCCGCAAAAGGTTTATTTTTATTTACTAATTAAAGTCCAGTTTTACCTGTAGCGTACGAAGAGTAATAATTATTTGATTGGATGAAATCAGTTATCACGTACAGTTTCGAAAGCACTAAAGCACGTTTGCAGATTAATAATGTTTCGTCCTCGGTTTTTTTACGGTATCATTAGGCTGCTTATTATAAACATTGCTTTTTTTTATTGCAATTAAGTGGTGATATAGAAGCGCCAAATCTAAATTTTATGCTGCACTATAATGCTAACTAACCACCTCTCAGTACCAGTGGCTAACTTTGATACCATATTTTCAGTTTACCTTTTAAAAATAATAAAAAATTTTCTAATAAATCTTTTTGGCGCATTTCGCGCTTTTTTCTACGAACGGGCCATATTAGAATGAACATTTCTTATCCACAACGAATAATCACGGTTAAGAAAATTACATTTATTTTATTGCTATGATATGAGCCTAAAGGAATAGCATAAGACTTTGTTTATAACGTTAGAAGAGTATTTACAGATAATTATTTATAAAGACAAAGGAACTTAGTTGCAGACACACGACTTTTCACAGCAACGGATATGTCAACTTAACCAACGTCTTTCCTGGGAAGCGAATATTCAATTCCTTGTACATCGAGCGTATTTTGGGGTTAATAACAAGAAGAATTGACTTATCAGTCACAAAAGATGACTTTTCCACCAATGAAAACTTAAAGACACCAGTTTACGATATAAAAATTTCTTATTAAAAATACAACGAAGTAAGAAAACGAAAAAATCGCGCGCTTTTCAACACTGTTACTTATCATTTTATATCAAATACTTGTAAATAAAAAGAACAAGAAGTGAATACTTCTTTTTTTCACTGTAATAAATATTATGTTGCTGTGAAGATCGAAATAATCCTGGATTTACCACTTTTAGCCAAAGAATTTGCGCTCGACTGAAATATAAGCATTACGATTTAAGATTAGGTAATGTAAACCATAGAGAAGTGTTTGTTGTTGTGCAAGCTGGTAAAGAAGCTAATATTGAGTTTTATCAATAATCAATAAAAATGGCACGTCAACGTAATAATTCTAATGCTGCCGGCAGTTCAAACAAATCGAATAAATCCAGTAATCATAGCACGCCTACAGAGAATTCTGGATCGTCGCATAGCACGAAGTTAAGTAATAGTGGCAGTGGCAGTCGAGCTAGTACTACTGGTTCAAGTACCACTTCGCAAATCGGCAACGAAAAGCAAAAGTCCAGAAATCATAAAAAGAAAGCTACTTTCAATTTATCCTCGAAATTGATTTTAGATAAATGGAAAACATTAATTGGTTGTGTCTGCTTGGCAGTGGCTTCATACTTTGGCTACTTAGGTTATTTAGAAACACGGGTTAATACGCCTTTCGATAATCAAAAGATGGTTACACGAGCCGGTTTAGACAGTCCTGAACTATATTGGGGTTCTTATAGGCCTCTAAATTACTTTGGTTTAAAGACAAGAGACCCGCATGCATTGGTAACGGGTTTAATGTGGTATGCACCTTCCAATTTAGGCCATGGTGGCAAGGGTATTCGACATTGGTGTGACATGGCTGATAATTTGGATAAATATGGTTGGACTCATCATGACGGTCGTAATTTTGGTATACAAGAAATTCACGATTTACCTTTTGAAATAAAAACATCATTCATAAAATATACGACGGGCAAGCAATTTGGTGGCGATTGGACTGCTAGAATATCTGTTAAGAACACTTCCAAGGCTTGGGATCGATCAATATCATTGATATGGTATGTGGCCTTAGATGAAAGAACTAATGGCCGCATTAATTACATATCAGATGATAAAAGTCCAGAATCTGGAGTTTATGGTGAAACATTGGGAACAGGAGAATTTCAATTGCGCTTTCACCCGATTAAAGGAAAAATCTTGCACAAATCATATCTAAGCACCATAGCGCCGTCTTTGAGCAAATTAAAAGAAACTGTTTTCACACATTTTCGTGTTTTTACCGACAAGAAAGGGCAACGTTATGTAGGCTTGCCAGGCGAAATGATATCGCACAATGGCAATATAGCTTTGGATCCGAATTTCATAGCCATACAAATCACGGCTGAAGTCAACTTCACTCTCGATATAAGTTATCAATCAATATCGGGATTTTCACTCAACAAGCTTGTGCCAAAGCCACTGACAGGCAGAGACTTCACTAGTTCGTTGCAAGATCATGTTTTAGCATTTGATAAGCGTTTTGAGGATACTTTCAATTTAAAAGTTCGTGGTTTCTCTGCCGATGAGATCAATTTTGCCAAATATGCCGTTAGTAATATGCTGGGAGGAATTGGTTATTTTTATGGTGCTAGTAAAGTGAAGTCCGTGCATACATCCAAAGCAGTGCCTTATTGGAAATCTGCTTTATACACGGCTGTGCCTTCGCGTTCGTTTTTCCCACGCGGCTTTCTTTGGGATGAAGGCTTCCATGGTTTACTATTGTCATCATGGGACATTGACATTGAACTAGACATTATGAGTCACTGGTTTGATTTGCTGAACATCGAAGGCTGGATACCCAGAGAACAGATACTCGGAGTGGAGGCTATGGCTAAAGTGCCAGAAGAATTTGTAATTCAGCATAATTTAAACGCGAATCCGCCCACATTTTTCTTAGTCTTGAAAAAACTATTAAAACATCATAAGGTAGAATTAGGTGAAAATAGGCGTCTAGACGTTTTGGAGAGATTATATCCACGATTGCAAGCATGGTTTTCGTGGTATAACATTACTCAGAAAGGCGACGAACCTGGTGCATATCAATGGCGTGGTCGCGATCCAAATACCGAAAGTGAATTGAATCCGAAAACCTTAACATCAGGATTGGACGATTTTCCAAGAGCTTCCCATCCAACAAACCGAGAAAGGCATATCGATATTCGATGTTGGATAGCCTTTGCGTCTGGTGTGATGGCCGAACTTTCTACTTTGTTAGGCAAAGATGACATTAAATATTACGAAACAGCCAGTTTCCTTCAAAACAATAAACTTTTGAATAATCAACACTTAAGCCCATATACTGGTAACTATGCCGATTGGGGTTTGCATACAGATTCAGTGGTCTTGAAAAGACCACAATTGACGCAGAAAAATTTGCAGCGTGTACAGCAACAGCATCAACCCCTTGAAATGGTAAGAATTATCCTAAAGCAACCCGATTACAGATACGTAGACAGCAATTTCGGCTATGTTAACATATTCCCATTTCTCTTGGAAATATTGGATCACGATTCAATTTATTTGGAGAAGTTAATGCGAAACATTAGAGATTCCGAAATGTTGTGGACTAAATACGGATTGCGATCATTAGCGAAAACGTCGCCACTATATCAGAAACGCAATACCGAACACGATCCGCCATATTGGCGTGGAGCCATCTGGGTTAATATAAATTATTTAGCTTTAAGGGCTTTAAGACATTATGGTACCATCGAAGGGCCGTACGCAGCTTATGCACGTGAAATTTACACCGAACTACGCGAAAATTTAATAGAAAACATTTTCAAAGAATATCGACGTACAGGATACTTATGGGAGCAATACGATGACATAACCGGACAGGGTAAGGGTTGTTACCCCTTCACCGGCTGGAGCTCATTGATTGTATTGATCATGTCGGAAAAATATTAAAATGCATGTATCCAATGGTAGACATTAGCTGTATATATATATATGTTTGTTTTATTAAAGTATTTACACTTAGTTGTAGGTTTATAAAACAATAATTTTAACGATACTTAGCTACAAGATTAACACAGTTAAGAAAAAAGAGAAGACAAAGCATTTTATTTCCTGTTTTAGATAAATGTTTCGCAATAAAGAGAATTGTGTGAATTTCTTTTTTTAATAAATTACTTTAGAATTTCAGCTTTAACTACATCCGACTTAGCGAGAGTCTTTAATACGTAGCACTAGCAAAATACCGAGGTATACCAATTTTGTCATTGTATTTGTAAATCTCTGTAAACGGCATCAAAAGCAAGTACCATATCATAAACAATCTTGACGATTCTTTTCGACTCTGGCCGTTTATTGGAGAGTTTTTACTATCGAGTACTTTACTAACATGTGAAATATACTAGAATAAGCCGCGGCCTTCCATTAAATACTGAATTAAGGCACTATAGGGGAAGAGGTCGAAAAAGATGTTCAATCTGATCCGACAAGCTGAAATCGAATCAGAATCACTCCTTGAATCTACATTCTTCCAATAATAAAAGATTGGTCTACATCAAGTCCCTCCAGGTGTTGCATACATCCGCACAAATTTTATATACCCTTGTACCACAAGTGGTGTACGGTTTTTTTATATCATAAACTAGAGACTGAACTATAGAACTAGCACTGCGCACTTACTCTTAATTAATTCATTGTTCAGAGATCAATCTTAAAAATAATAAAAATGGTTGAGACGTAATAATTCGTAGACATAGGAAACATCACAGTCACAGACAGACTTTTTTTTAGTAAAAAGTACTTGAAGCCCTTTATTGCTGAAAGAGAAGTGAACAAATAAAACCATTGTACTATTCTCCTAAAATAGAGACTAAAAAGGAAATATCTGAGAAAATTCTATTCAGTTATGACTGAATCTTTTATACCCAACAATTTGCTTTTTTAAAGAATGCAAAAAAAAAAACAAAACTTTGCTATTTCACTTTGTTGATTGGGTGTGACCGCTTTTTTTTATACATGCTAGAGGATTGTCCGTCGAGTAGATCTGTGCGACCCAAATCCCCTATGGTTGATTTACTAGGCACAGATTTTCATTACATTGTCCGAATTCGGTAAGCTTTATTTTCATGTCAAATTATTATCAACGAGAAGTGTGGAATTTTTAGGCCTTCTTACCGTATAAAGATTGAGTTTCCGTAGCAACGATTGCACGGCAAGACGTTCACAAAGAATGCCGAAATACTATTGCTATGCGATTTTTTCACAAGATTCTAGAAAGTGCAACATCTTCTCTTATAACAACTTATCAAAAAAAAGGAGTTATTTGGTGAGTGGTCGGGAAAGTGGAGCCGTGCGAACTATTTTCAATAGTATTCGTCCTTAGGCGAAAAACACATCTGTGTACCAATTCTCATCAAAAATTGCGGCCTATGTGTTGATTTCGAAAACGATTCGGTATAATAAAAGATGCGTCCACCTCAAGTCCTTCGGACTGTTACATGCATCGGCACAATCTTAATATACTCTGTACCAAAGGTGGTGTAGGGTATTAGGAGACTTAATGCATGCAAATAGGAATTCTTGATAATGTTTGTGGGTAAATTAACGTAAAAAGCGTGATTTTATGTTTTCAACATTCTGACGAAACCAGAGGTCATCTAATCTTCTTAAGGGACTTTTATCATTACTCATGCGAGCAACTACAACAAGCATAGAGCGTAAAGTATCGAGTATGATAGCAAGTATCGAGTATTTTTTTTGATTAGTTTATCTTGTATTTGAATTAAATTTGAATGAAAGCATCGCGCTCGGGATGGGGATGAAGATGCGAAAGCAGACCTTCTTTCTTCTATTCAACATGTTTTTAAGTTTTGTGTTGTTGTAAATAAATCGGAATTTTAATCATAATTCATTAATTTATTAAGCATTATAAAAATAAAATTTGTAAAAATTTCAACACATTTCTCACGTATAAATTAAAAGAAAACAATTGTTTTTAAGTATACAAATAAGAAATATTAATTTAAAATCTTTAACTTGTTTGCAAAAAAAAAAAGGAAAAATAAATCCAAATAAAAACTTAATTGAAGACATATTTTCTTATATTAGAATATTAATATTAATTAATTATATTATGTTTTTGTTATTAAAGTTAGTTTATTAAATAAAACATGTAGAAGGGATGAGAAGACACAAGGACTTAAGTTAATTTTACACCTAATAGTTAACAAGAAAATCATAAATTTCCCCGATAAAAACGCAAACGTTCGTTTACCTACTTAGCCACAAGTCAACTTTACTAGTTTCACTAGCTATTCATTAAATTTTTTGTAAACTTTAGACTTGACGTGTTAATAGTCGACAAAAAAATAAATAAATAAATAAAAAATTTAATTGAATTAAATTTTAAACGCAATAGATAACAAATATACGTTTTCTTGGGTTTTTTTATTCTCGTTTGGCTATTTTACTTTATCCGCTCCAAGCTTTAAGAAGTACTTGAAAACGCCTCGTGTAACAAATGCATATTAGAGAGTCTCCATTTCTTTGTGGTACAAGAGTATATTAAGTTTATGGGTACGTATGCAACAGCCACACAGACTTGAAATGAATTCCACCCCATCCTATAATGATCTAAGCTAGCCCGTCTGTCTGCCAGTCTTGTTTGTAGTTAGCCTACAGGAAACACTTTTTTGACCACTGCTCATGTAACGCCTTATTTTCAAAAGTCGCTATATGGATGGCTGCAGGCTATTATACGGTATTTAATGGTGGGCCTTGTCTAAGTATTTATTTGTATATTTATATACACATATATAAGGTCTCTTGCAGTGTGATAGAGAGGTTTGCAGATCCTTTTTTTTATCCATTATTAGAAATTGAGACGAATTGGGACAAAATGTCCAAGTAATTTGAAAAAATCCGAATTTCCAATGAATTTTCTTTAATTACTTTCACTTTATAGCTTAGGTTAATGAGACTTAGAAACTTGGAGCCAATATATATTGAAGTCCCATTCGGGCCCAGTTGCCAGTTAACCGTTGAGAAGTATGTAAGTGGAAACCAGAGATTAATTAAAAAGTTTGCGACACCCCAAAGCACATACAGAGTTGTATTAAACATTGCTTGCGTACAAATCACTTTTCATATAGCCATTTGTTTATAAAAGTAAACCTTCTTATCTTATTTATTAGAGGGAAATCAAAAATATTAGTCTAAATTTCAAAATAAGTTGAGAGTGAACAATTTGATATAACTTAATCACCGGAATCTATTTATTCGACTAATGCGTGGTATCTTAATGAATTTAAAAGAAAATTACAATTATATATGCATGGATAGCAAAACTTCGAGTATAATAATTTATCAATCGGTGATCGATTGATTCGTTGTTAACTAAATTTAAAAGCCATGTAAGTACCTCGAAAAGAAAAATAATAATAATAATATAAATAAAAAAAAATAAATAAATAAATAAATAAATTAGAAAAGAAAAATGCTTAGAGCTTAAATAGAAGAAAAAATAGACTATATAAATAATTTAAAAAAAAAAAAAAAAAAAAACAAAGAAGAAAAAGAAGACATTTCTGGAAGCTTAATTATAGTAGTTAATAAAGTGTGTACACGCGTGTATGTATATATAGATATAAAATGAATATACAACAATCGAGAAAAACATATCGTTTCAATATCATAATTTAATAGACTATTAACATGGTTTTGTTATTTATTTTTAATTCAAGAGGGGGGACATTTTAAACTTAACAATTAAACATATTTTTTACTGCGAAATGGTGGGAAACGGTCCAGCAGCGCATGGAATATGCTGCCCGGAACACGTTGATGTTTATTGATTAAATCCTCTAAGGCTTGAGCCACCTGTGCAAAATAATGCCTAAATTAAATAAGTAAATTTAATAATAAAAATAGCAATTCATTTAAATTACCTTAACTTGTAACTCCTCGGGTGTTATGTTATAATCGTATTTTACCGGCTTACCCAAATAGGTGCGAAATTTCACGGGGAATCCGCCGTATATTGGATAAACTGGTATTCGGACTGCATTGTATAGCTTTAAAAACAAATTTCGAAATATACCTAACTGACGGAAGCCTTCACGTAAATTTTGTGTAAAGCAAGGAATGATTGGTACCTTAGCGTCTAAAGCCACCTTAGCAAAACCGACACGATTACGCCATAATAGTTCATAATAATTATCGCCAAATTGCGCTTCGTATACACCGCCCGGTGATATGGCCAATAGGTTGCCTTCATTTAAAATGTTCACACAAGATTGTACCGTGCCGGGGCTTATGTGAAACGCTTCCGATATTGTTCCCCAACCGGGTAATTTAAACAGAAATCGATCGCCTATACTGTAAATGAGGCGATCCTTTTGTAAAACAACTCGCGAATTAAGATAATACATATCCACCGGTATGGCACCATGGTAGTAAACAATTAGAGCAGGACCGTTATCCGGAATATTTTCCATTCCGATAACCTCGTAGCCATGATAAATGCGCCCATGGGCATCCCAAATGGCTGCCACCAGTTTACGTCCGAATTCCCAAAACCTTCGATCGGTACGAACAGCCCGTAAAATCACTTCTCTGTAAAGAAAAAATTTAAAAGCAACCCTTTTTTTTTTGTTTTTGTACAAAAGGAAAGCAAAAAAATAAATGCAGAAACAAGAAATGGCTTAAGAGTCGAAAATGTTTCAAGCAACATTTTCACAATTCCAACGAACCTATGTTAATATCTAGACAAAGGGATGGATGCCTACAGCTAAAAAAAGTCCAACGATCTCAATACCTTTCGATCGATCTTTCACTAAATCTGATGTGAAAGAGTAGATGCGTTGACATTAGCAAGATTTTAATTACTAAAAATTTGTAGGAACACCATTCCTGTCCACGTCAATCAATTTTTTTTTTTTTTTGTTTAATGGATTGTTGGGAGCTTCGGGAATACGTGGGAAAAATTTATTATTTATAAAAAATTTTATCCAAGCCATCTCCCAAGCTCTACGCCAAGAATACTTGTATCAAATGTATTGCAGCTTAATGTCTTGCCATTTGATTACTGCCTCCTCTCTGCGGTACAAAAATTTATTGTAAAAGAAGGCATGTCTGTCATGTATTGTAAAAGTAGTGTCGGCCGTTTTGTTTGCTTTTAAGAATTTTCAACAATTTAAGGAGAGAAGACTAAAATTTTCGTACTACTGACATAGGCTAACTTTTCATCTAGCTAAACAAGTAAAAACACTCATATCCTGTCGTTAAATGCCCTATACCACTTTACTTAATACACTTACTCATATAACGACGTGGGCTAAAAATTGTAGGTTGCACACAAGAAAACAAAGTGGCGAAGCAAGAACTTCAGATAGATAGGACGGACGAATACAAACCGATTCTTAAGTACCAATAACTTGTTCATTTGTAATCGAATAAGCAATATAGTCGTAAAAGTCTGAGTAGTGGATGATTGTCGCTCCACACCTCTAATTGTCACAACAAATAAATAAAATGCTAAAGTTATGGAGAATAAAGAAACTTGAGTTTGCGTAAAATCGCTGGCAATTGTAGAGAGGTCTCAAATATTTACCCATGACAGATCTATAGGAAATCGGGGGCGAATGTTTAGATTCCCATTAAAAGCTATTTTGAGCAAAATTTTCTAATAAATCTTTGAATCTTTTTTTTTTGAAAAGACTAAAAGCGAGTTTGTGCACCCTTTTGCAGCTGTGGATACAACTTACGTGTACCATAATACTGAACTCTGAACTGAAAAAAGAAAAGAAACAAGACGTAAAGTAGGCTGGACCATGTCGACGCGATGCCAGCGAAGCAAATTAAAGAAATAGCAGGGAAATGCCCAAGAACATTTGCAGAAGGAGAATACGGGGATACGGGTATGAATAAATTCGTCTTTTGTTTGCCGACAAGCATTGACTAGGAATTACATTGGCAATTTGACAGGTGAGAAAGTAAGCGAACGGAATTGAGGGGGGGAGTAGAAGTAACGGGAGAAACAGCAAAAGACTTTGGAATATGCGCACCACACTACCATAGATGGAGTTCCCTTTCTCACTCCAATCTTTTTCATTCTCCCATTCCCATCTTCTTAGAAGGAGGAAGGAATGGTCCATCCAATAAAGAATGCACGGCGGGTAAGATTATCACCAGAATGAAAAGTCATTTTCAAGACGAAGTAAACATGTGACGAAAGATATTACAGTTAAGAAGGTATCCACTTTACCTCCATTGGTGCAATGGTCGGCTATGAAGATTTCAATAAATTGATATATATATATAAATATATACTCGTTTAGGTGGATTTTTTTCTGCTTTCTTTCTTGCTGAAATGCGTTATTTCGAACACGTTTCTCAAAGTTACAATAACTTTCGCAACACATCGCTGTTTAATTTTATTCTAAACACCCATTATTATTGTTCTGGTGGGACTGCTCGTGGAATACAACGAAATGAATAAAATTAATTGTGTTTTGTGTGTTGGGTGCCTTATTGTTATTAATGTTATCATTGTTGTATACAAACCTGTGCAATTTGTAAATGAATAACACTAAAAAAGATATGTAAATTAATGCCACAAACACCAAGGGCAAAAGGAATGTTACAATTAACGGTGTCAGTAAGCGATACAGCCATAATGAATAATCCAAATCGATATACGAGGCTGAAAGATACAAAGAAACAAAAAGGTCACATGAAAGAAAGATATCAATAGTAGCGCTGTACATAAATAAGAGATTACGTACAAACTTAATATGAATAATATAGATAAACAACCAAGTAAGAATAATGGAATAGATGTAAACGTTAAGCTAAGCTTACATAGTAATTCTTGTAGTCTCTTTGTTATATCTTGTATAAAATCCATAATCGTGATTGTTGATACGTGTGTTTTGTGGATTATTCGCAAAGAAACTTTTTCTTTAATTTCGTATCGTGTATCGCGGCCGTAGTCACTTCGACTTTGCTCTAAGTCTCGGGTGTAGTTTAATGCTTTCTTTTCTTTTCAAAAGAATCAAAAGAATTCTCTCTTCATATAGTGTAAAATGATTTTTTGTTTTATTTTTGTTAACATTGTTGCTGTCTCAAATGTTATTATATCTATTTAAATTTGCTACCTTTTTTTGTTTTATTGTTTTTGCTGTTTTTATATAAATATTTTATATTACATTATTATTACTGTTATTATCTTTCAAACCTCTTTGAGTTGAACATATATCTTACATATATGCATTTTTTAATTTGTTTCTTATATTTTATATTTACGGCACGCAAAACAAACACACGCATACGCATACGTAGTATGTGTTTATCTTTCTAATTATATATTCCACTGAAGTGTTTATTAGAATTTTGCAGCGTCGTAAAAGTTCGTAAATGCCGCGTGAAAACGTTTTGTTTACCTATTAACTTCATATAGAACTGTAGTGAATTTCTGTGATAGAACGTCAAAGCCACTAAAATTCTGAAAAGTACCGCATAAAAATGTACTATATTTGTTTCAAAATTTAGCATACAATGTTGTAAAATTCCGTACGATGCACATAAGAAAGTACACATTGTTTTTTCTTAATGGATAAATGAAAGTTCGCAACAATCTGTCGCGTATGGTTATCGAGAGTTTTAGAAAAATCCTTTTCAAAATACTGCGATATTTTTGCAGTAAAAATATTGCAATATCTAATGAAAGACGTCTTCCATTTTGTACATCGCTGTACGAAACTATGGCCAGACACGAAGAATCGCCTTACAAAGTTCTCAAAGCCAAATGAAAATAATATTTTCAGATTTATAACATCATTAAACGAAATTGATACTATTTCGCCAGTATGTTATATGTAATGTCTAGACTAATGTTGTTCTTACAATATCTATACATGCTATTGAGACCGCGCGAGAGACATTACAACTAAAATGCATTTTTTAACTTTTAAAAGTCACACCACTATTCCAAAGCTTTAGAAATGGTTTTTTTATCAGGCAGTTTGACAACACGACAAATTGAAACACACATATTTTTGCTGTCTGTAAAATGACATGTTGGAAAGAACAAAAGTCGTAGGATCGTTGATCGTTAATATTAATTGATTTTTTTATAAGAAAATGTTTGATCTGGAATGTTATTATTGCTTATATTTGAATTAATGCGTATTCAAGTCTTGCGGCGACGGCTAGTCGTCATCAGGGTTAACTACAGGCTTGTCCGTTCATCGTAGCTTGCAGCGACAAAACAAACGAGAAAATCAGACAATCAGAGTAATTGTAGGTACACTGAAGGTGCTTTTGAGAAATATTAAGTTCGGTAAAAGCCGGCCGTAGCAAACGAGTTCTCGATATTACTGGGTAATGAATTCCTTCTCCTAGATATAATTGTAAACCAACTGAATTCAAATACTAAGCTTTAACTTTAATATTAACTCAAACTACGAATCTACTAAACTAAAAGTATACATACAATGAACCAAGATTAAAACCATATTTTTCACGTTATAATCCAATCATTTGGTATCTTAAAATTTTTCGTTCATACGTAATGGAATGGAATATGGGCTTGCAAAAATAATTGGGAAACCTTAGGGAAAGAGAGCCGTTAAAAGAGAAAAAAATTTAAATTCTAGCTGACGATGTTTTTAATCATATCAATCCCATAAATCGAAATAGTGTTATCAATATCAAGCAAATGACATATTTTTTATAATTTGTCGTATTTTTATACTTTTCTTAAAAGTTCATAGAACAAGGGCGAAAAACAATATATAAATATAGAAAAAAATTTGCAGTGTATGCATCTTGATGAACTTGGCATAACTGTTTTCAAATATATATTTGCAAGTCAAGCAAGTAAACAGAAATCAGCTGTGGTGAAAAAAAAATATCAAAAACAAAAGTAAAACAACCGCTGCAGTTACTATTAGACGTAAATATCTAAATAATAATAGTTTCTTATGCAGTTTATTATATTTTTTTTTTTTATTACAAATTTTCAGAGATTATAGAGCTTATCTTTATTAAAATAAACAAAGTTGAACGTCTAATACAGTGATAAGACATTAATTAGTTGTATATTAGACGTATAAGCAAGAGTACAATAAAACGCGATCCAACGCAAACAAAGACTAACAAATTTTGAGGGCATTACTGCAAAAGTATAGAACGCAAAAAAAAATCGGTGCAGTGACTAGCGGAAATTTGAATTATGTGCGTTATATTTTTCTATGTAAATTCCAGTCCGCAGAACGGCGGTTACAAGCTGATATTGGCCTCAAATAGGGACGAGTTTTATGCGCGCGACACTAGACCGGCAGGTACATGGATTAGTAACGAATATGTTTATGGAGGTAATTAAGAGAAGCTTCATTTTCCAATTTGTAATGAAAATGTTCAGACTTTCTAGGCATTGATTTAGAACCGGGTCGCGAAGGTGGAACCTGGCTGGCTGTCTCTGGTAAAAATGGTACATTTAAGGTGGGAGCTTTGTTGAATTTAACGGGAGAACCGAAAACTCGTAACTCTTTGGGTAATTATTCAATTTGCGAAATTATCGAGTTTTAAAAAAAAAAAATTAGCTTCAATTTATATACAATTTTATTCATACACTTCGCTTTTTCCACTCTTTTCACTAATTGTATGCAAAATGTTTAACAATATTCCCTTTGTTTTCGTTGTGTGTTTGCGTGCGTGAATGTTTGTGTCTCATTGAATTAAAAATACACTCTACCACCCCTGTGAAAAATAAAAAAAAAAAAAAAATGCAAACCTCTTGTAATCCCAAGTTACAAACTGCTATGGCGCACACAATTGTAATACCACTTCAACTTTAACAAATGTTACCACTATACCGTCAACCACTATCATTACAACAACAACAAAAACCTATTCTAGTCCAACACTGCACAACAATAATAACTCTTTATTAGGACGCGGCATGATTGTTACCGATTATGTCAGCAATTTTAATGAAGACTTTAACAATAGCAATTACAATTGCCGTTTGGTGGAGGATTGCTCCAAGTATAATGCCTTTAATTTTGTATCCTTGGAAATAGGGTAAGCTTAGTTAAATATATATTTTATATATATAAATATACATATGTATGTATATATTAGATAGTCTCAAAAATATAAAGCCTAATAATGGAGATATTTTGGATAACCTTCTCATGGTTTCGCTGAAATAAATTTTGAGAATAGCGAAATCTGTTCAAAAAAACTATGACAAATTGTGCGCATAAGTTTGAAAATTTACCGCAATATCACATTTTTTTGAAAAGAAAATTTAGTTTGAACATTAACTTTTAGAAATTAATTGAAATCCTTCATTGCACCCTACGAACTGAACGGTCTAACATCGAATAAATACTGAATAACAAAATGCTGTCTTCGGGTATTCTCCGTAGTAAACCAAATCACTGATAAAGTAAAAATTAGAATTAAAAAGCAAAATCTGTTTTGGAATTCGTGCTAGGAAAGAAATTCATGTAACAAAGTATACTTGTTCTTATTCGTGAACCGTGTTATTTCAAAATTGGGTGAAAACGGAGTCATGTGTATATATATCTTATAAGTTGTAAGTAAACACATCAGCAATTGTGAATTAGGACCAAGTTAGCGACAGTTGGGCCAAGTTCAGTGTTTAAAGAGACTCTTTGCTTTAAGGCTTTAGAGGCTAATCTTATGCCTTAGGTCAAGATATGCTTTGTTTATTCTTTCGTAGGTGTACTGTATTTTTTCAAACTTGGAATCTTACACTGATTCAATTATATGTATATCTCATGCACGCTTGAGCAGCGAGGTACGGTATAATAATAATAATAATAATAATAATAATACAGTATAGTAAATAAATTTGTTCTTTTATAAAACAACAACAGCCTTTTATTCATTTAGAAAACAAATTCGTATAAAAGCCTGCTTGCGGTATCGTAAGGCGATTATATTTGTATATAATGAATGGATGAAAATTCTCAATCTTCTACGGGCTAATATTTTTTAGATTATCTAATATTTGCAGCCTTTTAAGATTTCCTTCCTAATCACAGCAATTTATTAAACCGTTTTAGGTCTTCATCTTCAGCAGCTATCACACTTTGTAGTAACGTTCCTGCCAGTTTAATTCACTATCCGGAAGAGAAATACTACGGCTTTGGTAATAGTTTACCTTCAGTGCCGTTTGAAAAGGTTCGTTTCGGTCGTGATCGCTTTCAAGCAATTGTTCAGAACTACTTTAACTCTGACAAACCGAGCGACGAGAATGTTTTAATTAAGCAATTAATGGATTTGCTAAAATGTAAGCAGCGATTTTGGCCAGACGCCGAACTAATGCGTAGAGCACCCAATTGGGGCGAACACTTGAGTGCCATAAATGTTGCTATACCGAATGAAGGTTACGGCAGTCGGACGCACACTGTGATTTTGATCGATGCGAACAATAGAATGCAATTTATAGAAGAAACGATGTTATCCGAAGATCCGACGGGCGAATGGTCGTGCACTCACTTAAATAAGCAATTCTTTTAAAAACCAAATAACGACCAATAACGAAACCGAGTGAGAGTTTCTTTAGGGGGGCGGAGGGGTGATTAAGCAATTTTTTTATTTCTGAAAAAATATACAAATAAGTTTTACTTACTTAAAACTCATATTTATTTATTTCTTCTTTTTTCTCATTGCATATGTATTAATTACAACTTGGACATATGTAACATCTATTTTCAATTATTTTTCTTTATTAAGCCTTTGTTCGACACGAAGACTTGGGAGGGAATACTTGCATTATTATTGCGTTATTTACCACTTCTCGTATGCTTTACATTTTTAACTCCCCTTAAAGCACTTTTACTGGCCCCTTTAACGATGCTCTTAAAAGTGCCGACATGCTTGGCTCGTCTTCTTCGGTTCAAACTTTTTCTGCTTAAAGGTATATAAGCATAAGGGTCCAGTTTACCTTTCTTTTTCATATCCCCTTTAGCTTTTTTAGTGCTATACTCAGAGCCTGTATGCTCAGCTTTAGTCGATTTCCTTGATTTAATGGACTGGACATCATTGTCAACGTGTGCTTTTACTAATGAACGATGTATTCCTTTTCCACCAGCTGTGTAACGTGTAGAAGAGGTTTTACCCGAATGTATACTCAAAGCGTCTGTATGTTTGCGTTTAACTGGAGGTAAAGCTGCTTCTGAAATTTTTATTTCGACAATTAATTGTTATTGATAAAAGCTAGTGAACCTAATAGCTTGGCTAGGGAAACGCCGGTATTTCTTTGTTATAAACTCAAGACATTCTTGTTACCGCGAATATAATATTTTAACCAGACATGACGCAAGGCCGACATTGTGTATAGCAAAATTGGTCCAAGAGCGCGTGTGATTTGCCAAGTATTTTTAAAATTTTTGAAAGCTAGAAAATGCTATACGACAGACGGACATTAATAAATCAACATAACTACAAAATTTGCAAAATCCCATCGCTCGGCATTGAATATAATAACTTTGTTAAGCAAATTTACCATCACTAGACTCCTCGTCCAAACCGCGTTTAATTGATGCCTTTTTCGTATGAGTATCAGCATGAACAGCATCGCCGTTAATGCTGCTATCATCGTCACTGTCTTCTGTATTTTTGGACCCTTTATCACTAATTATCAGTTTACCATCAGCGGAAATCTTAAAACCGCGATTGGGATCCTTCGTTTTGGTTTTTAAAGTTGTCTTATTATCATTTAACATATTCGGGCGATTCGCTGAAGTAGAACAAGAAATGCATTATTCTGGCAAAAGAATCCAAACGAAAAGAATACTTACTTAAAATATTGCCTACGGATTTAATATCTGCCAAATCTACAATATCTTCCGGATCTTCCTTTATAAATGTATTACGAGACTTTTTAGCTTTCGTTTTCGTAGACGATTCATTTCCATTTGTTTCCATATCTTCCGGTAAATCGGAATCTGAATCAGCCAATATGTCTTCAATGCTGAAAAAAAAAACAAGGAAAAACGTTACAGTTGGCCAACTCCCATCATTAATCACCCTGCATCAATCCGTTTAATGCAGTTATTCATGAGGCTTTTCACAAAATAAGGCGTTGTATGAGAAGCGATTGAAAAATTGTTTCAATCCGGATCATTCGTTCTTGGACCAAAACATTTCGGTATACCCAATGTAGGGTGCTGTAGGTTGCACCCAAGAATACAAGACGAACGGAGGGACATGCCAGCTTAGATCGATTATGATAGCGATTCTGAAGTGATCAGTGTAATAAAACATGGATATTATCTCAAGTCTTCTTGTGTTATTGTGTACATTCATACAAACTTAATTACCCCCTTGTACCACAAATACAAGAGGACATTTTTTTAATCAGAAATTTGAAGCAGTTTTCTTAAAAAACTTACGTAATGCTTTTCTTTTCCAAATTGTTTACAAATTCGTCCGCTGATAACTCGTCATCACTATCTTTGCCTGGATTTTGGTTCTTACGATTATCGCGGCGTAATTGCTTACGTATTTTTTTTAGACGTCGATGGGTAACTTCATCGTCTCCCGGCACAAATTTCACTAAGTCTTCGGCGGCAAAACGTTTACATAATTTCTTTAACAAATAGCCAATTTGTAAGCGGCAATAACGTTTAGTGTCCTTAACCATAGCCGATATAGATTTCATCTGTAATAGACCAATAGAATTTGAAGAGAGAATTAAGAAATTCTCAAATAATTTCGTACATACAATTGTCTCTAAGTGATTGGCGACCAAAGGGGAAGGCATCACCTTAATAAAAGTAATTAGAAATGCCACGGAAGCTTCGGCTTGTGGACGAGATTTTTGCACCAAAAATACAGCGACTTGCTCCATAATAAATTCCAAAGTATTAACAGTTATATTTTTACCCTGCTCTTGTAAAACTGTTCGGAACGCTAATATCGTATTAGTTACTAAGGACTCATCACCGGTAAAACCCACTGCTAATATATCCACGAAGTCATTAAGTTTGTTCTCTTGCTGATATAATTGCAAGATTAACTTCAGTAACTCCTGCGATATATCCTCTTTACGAGTAGAAAACTCTCGATAGTTCATAATAGCCTCTGGTAAAGTCTTCACAACTAATTTGTTGTTAGCATTAAGATTATCAAGACTTTCGATAAGAACTTTAAGACACCTATTCAGAATGTGAGTTTTTTAAGTGAATAAATATAATCTTGAATAGTGAACATAAATTACCTTAAGCGTGCCGCTTGGCAAACGGCACAACTCGTTGTAAAAGCCTCTAATAAGAGTTTTTGCAGCGCTACCAGATTTCTACGTCTAAATTTTTGACAAGAAGGCGCTTCTGAAGATAGAATGTCACTTAGTAATCTATTGGAGATTTAAAGTTTTAAGAAAAATGTGAGAAATTTGCTAGTTTGAATGGTAAGATCTTATAAATTTACTCATAAGTTTTACGTTGTTGCTTTTTAAGCTTTTGTTCGTCTTTAGCCACTAGTTTGGACTTTTCCGTCTTCAACAGTACCGGTACAATATATGCTTCAAAGAATTCCCTGATAACTTCGCATGTTTGAAAGAGCGTTAAAGCAGCTGTGATGTCATAAATGGCATAATAATCGAAACTAACTACTGGAGTGGAAACGACTTGTTTATAAGCGGTATTAAATAATTCTTTACGAATATCAGCAGGAGTTTTTTCTAGATATACCTACAAAAGAAAATTAATTGCTATAGACTTGGAACGTTATTAAGGCGTAGCGAAATTACCTTTATAACGTGTAAGCATTTCTGTTGTAAATCTTGTTCGTAAGTACCGTTAGGCTTTTGCGTGTAGATGTTAAATAGACGTGGTAGAAAATTCTTAGCGTAATTTCCCAACAATCCATGAATTTCTAGATTATTTTCTCCTTCCAATAGCTCAAGTAAACCATCAAATATTGGGGCGCGAAATTCAGGATTGTTATCCAACGCATTCCCCAAAGTGGGAGCTATTAGGGAAAAGTTCTCTGGGTCTTTAGGATTTCTACAAAAACCTGGAAATAAACCCCAGAGCTGACAGCACAGTAATTCATAAGTATGTGACATGGATATTTGTTTTTCTTTGGCAAATTTATGCCATTTTGTATTGCATTCCAAAGCCAATGTTAAAATAACTTCTTTGAAAAATGTAAAAGTAGCGCCGACCGATCCCTGCCTTAGTAAGGGTAGAAGCCAAGATCTGTCTAGCATTACTTCTCCTTTATCGTTAGTCAGAGGTATGGTCTTTAATACAACCTCAGGACCCATTGATTTAATTGCTGCCATAATTGCGTGTTCGATTTGTAGGCGCAAAGAACTTTCGGTATCGTAACGTTTAGCAAGTTCCAAGAGCGACTTCGACAAATCATTAACAAAATAGATGCCGCACACTTCAAATATTATGGCAAACGTTAAGATCACATGTTTGAGAACCTCTCCAAATGGAGCTCGTAGAACATCGTGCAAAGATTGTATGAGATGACTAATAGGCAATTGGTACATATTAGCTGCTTCTTGCGAGGTACAAGCTTCTTTGACTGACTCGTATAAAAACTCCTTAAGACAGTTAAAAACGCTTGCAATGATTTCCGAGTGATCGGATCGCCATAAATCGTTTGCCACATTGGTGAAATGAGGTAAGGCGTTCATGCACAAATCCATATCGAGTCGTGATAAGTGAATGTAACCTTCTTTGAGTACAGTGAACCAGGCGAGAGTCTGTCGACGATCTGATCGATCAGGTCGATATTTATGTATGGCCGTTAGCAATTTGCCACACATTACCGAATTAAGATTAGTGGTCCGCGAAGCAAACAATGAATGTAACGTGTGGAAACAACTTGTCCTTGTCACAACGTTAGCTGCTGTCATAATGGAAAGCAAATGTTCGCAGATCACACGTATGTCGTTCATTTTAAGCGCCCCAATTATATCTTTGAGTAGTGTCAGTGTATGCAACAACGTAGTCTCCTGATGAGCTAGAATATCTGGTTTAAATTGATTTAAACAGAATTTGGTAATCCGATTACTAGCAGGATGAGCTTTAATTTGAGTGGGATTTTCAACTGAATTCACATTTTCTGCAGGTAACATGAACGTACTACCATGAACGATGGCTACAATGGCATGTTGGGCTTGTTTGCGTATCTATATATTTAAGAATAAAAACAATAAATAAATAATTTTTCCCTTTAATTCTCGTTATTTGATATACCTTTGGCTTTGAGTGGATTGTAAACGAAAGTAAAGCATCAATGTATTTCCAGATTGAACTATAAGTCCAAGTTGTGTAAACCTGAGCTCTTAACAGTACCGATAAACAACTGATTGTCTAGGAAAGGATCGATTCATTGGTTAAATTACTTCATTAACATTTCATTTTAGTAAAAGAAACTTACATATCTTATAACATTTTGATTCGAAGATTCAGCGAATCTTTGCAGGCAAAACATTAGAGTTTGAGCGGTTTCACTGAAGCGTTTTCTCAATACCATGGTGGGCACTGATTTGATGCCCATCGCCAACAAGGATATACCCGCTATAATTTCATTGTCCTCTTTGCTAGCTTCTATTTGTTCCATTAAAAGTATAAAATATTCTGTAGATGATTCTGAGCCGCCGCGTTCCTTGATGATTTCCGTTAGTGCTGTTAAAATAGCTAACATTTCTTTATGCAATTCGGATGTGGTGCGAAAACCCACCAGTAACTTTCTAAAACTTTTATTACTGCACGAAGTATAATTGGTAGCAAAAGTCTTAAAAGTCCCCGGTTGGGTTTGGGTCATGGCCTCATCATCGTCATCATGGAAACTAAAACACTTTAAACTGCTCGCCACATCGTTAACTGTGGTAGTTTCTGCATTAAAAGCGTTACGCTGATCATGCTTTAACACTGCATCTAAAGTTAATGTGCCTGGACTTGTCGTCGTGTCAGGGGATGCTGCAATACAATTATGTTAGAAATCGATAGAACTTTTTCCACAGCGGTTGCTTACTCATACCCAGACTTAAATTTGTTTGAAAGAAGCGCGACTTAGCTTTAAGTCGATGTTTCATTTGTTCCGGGTTGCAGGTCGAAGAGTGTCCTTTACTCCAGGTTTTGCCTTTAACGTGACGCTTTAGTTTTGAACGAAACCTTCCCATTTTCAAGATATCCTTTCACCAAGCTTCTATAAAGAATATTGCAAACTTCTGGAATTAATTGAAAAAACAAAAAAAAAAAAACACGTGCCGACTGTTAAAAATGGAATTTTAATAGAAACCTGTGTTGTAAAAAGTGTGATCATCTTGTTGACATGATTGCCAGCTCAAGATGAAAATAAGGAAATTAGGTATAAAAAAATAATATGTAAAGCGTTGAATACTCTTTATAGTACAACTATAAAATTTCTTTCAAACCAATATTAAGCACTTAATTTAAGACAAATATGTAAGAAGAATATCTTTTTCATATAGCTTGGTTATGATATGTTGATCATCATAATATCACGTTGCAGACGTGTGAAGACGTATTATTATAACCTACTTATACCAAAGAAATAAACTCATGGACATAGTCAATTTGCAACTAGGAGTATCGACTCAAAAGAAAATTGCTAATATTACACTCCACAGGTAATTTCTACATGGCGAAGAATAGCCAACAACTCTAACATTAAAATATTCTTCTGGACGAAAAAATGGAAGTTATCGGTTTCAAAATTGGCAGAAAAATTGGAAGTTCTTGCTTATATTGATAATAGGCCAAATTGGTCGAGAGACACGCCTTCCGTGCACATAAGTTAAAAATATCGTTGCTCTCTGGATCGTTTGTTCATTACTCACAAGACTACAATAGAAACATGGTAAAAGACTATAAGTATACCGTAAAAAACTAGAAAAAATTGATCAGTGGTGAAGGAACATATGAAAAAACAAATAAACACACCGGTAGACATAAATCAAAATATACACACGCAAACAAAAATACAACCAAACAAACCAACAAGCATACACAGAAAACAAAGATGGATATAACATGTAAGAGATCTTAAGATAGGTCCCCATTTTATTACATCGATCAACAATGATTCTATATCGATTCTAAATTCGTTTTTCTGTCCGTTTGATCGCTTGTCTACCCACGTATTCTTGTGTTCAATCTACAAGTCGCAATTTTTGAGATATTTTGATGAAATGACTTTTTAATAAAAATTGATCTGACCCAATCCATTTTCAATAAGATTCATCTCTGGGCTAAAAAATCTCGATGTACGAAATGTCATCAAAGTCGTTTAAAAGGTTGTTATGTGAATAATCGTAGAGTGGTGCGGGAGCCAACAAATAAAGCGAGTAATGGATATAATGGATATAATAATATATAAAATAATAATGTGAGTTTAAATTTTAGATATATTTACATTATTTAGATATATTTAGCCGATCTAGAATATATACTGTGCGGAATTCTTAAAGCATGTTTCTGAATGTATATTACGGTTCTTTTTTTTGGCGTTTTTCGCACTACTTCCTATCAAAGACAAAATATCCAACATTAGCCCGTAAAAGTAAAAACTTTGTCCGAGAATTCTTCATTCTTCCGCTTAGTACTAGGTTTTTAAACGTAAATAGGTTTACGGGCATAAGAGGATGAACAAGCATGTTCTTCTTAATTAATTAGTTTAGGTGCCGTCTGCAAATTTCATACGTGACTAATCTAAATGTTCTCTTAAGCAAACATTGAACCTAGGGAAGAAAGCTTGCAAGGCCTTGTCTTTTTTTACAATAAACCAGCCAGCACGGATCTTGAGAAAGTTAGTGATCAGAAAAAAGTTTAATTTCTTTAACATTATGAAGATGTTAACTCAATAAAAGAAGAATTAAAGTTCTATAGTAGGTTTGCCCTATATGTAAATGCGAGGAGAGATCATCTGAAACAGGAAAAATAATTATTCAGAATTTTGATGAGATGAAAACCAATTTTCATAGAGTTGGTTGCAACACGATTTCTTACCCGTAAGACATCTTTAAAATGTGGTTTTCGAGTAGAGGATGAATCTTCGTTCCTTCTTTCGTCGTCAAAAAATGTTAATTCGTGCGGTACTGACTCATAGTGGATTTGGCGCATCATAAAAATGTTCTTCAATTATTAATTTAAATAATTTTTCAATTAATGTATGTATGTAATAATTGTGAGCCTTGCGTAAACTGTAGCAGCACATTACTGGACATAAGGTATCTTTTGGCTGAAATTTGCGTTGTCCATACGCCGGCAAAGATTAGACTTCACAGGGTCACCTGTGTAACTGTCTTTACCAGCCGCTTTTGCCACCATCTCGCATGTACCCTCTATTGCAAAATACTGGAAATCGTTTATTTGAAAATTCTATTTAATCGGCCTGTTCGAAAATAAGCAGTTCTTCAAACAAAATGATAGCATAATAATGGCTTAGTATGAAAGGTTGCAAAATATCGTACCGTATGATTTATTCCTTATAGTTCGCTGGTAATAACCGATGACAACTTTGTAAAGAAGAAGCAAACAAAAGAAACCAGTTGAATATTATAATACAATACGTAGATTATTAGGCAAAAAATGTTTTCGAGAAAAAAGCGAAAAACGAACAGAAGGTGATTAACTTTTATTCTAAATAAAAGATAAATAGTTTGTGAAGTATATTAATAAAACCAAAGTATAATATAAGTTAAGAGGAAGAGACTAAAACTAAAACAAAGATTTCGTGATAGCGAAACAGAAAAAAAAGGGAATGCATTAAAATGAGAGCAAGTAAGCAAGTGAATTAAAGAGAATGTGAAGAATGTTTAATAAAATCTGCGAATGAGGAGAGGAAAATCAATTAATAAAAAAAAAAAAATCAAATGCAATCAAATTAAAAGCGATACATGAAAGTGGAGGTCAATCTAGTGAACTTCTTTACTGAAATACTTTCCTAACCGTTATTTTGCAAGTGTTGGTAATAACATTATCAGAAATATATAGTCAGAAAATGCAAATAAATTGAAGTAAAAAAATAAGTTTTGTTAAAAATATCTCAACTTGCCAGATAATCTATCTATCTCGTATCTTGTTGATTGAAATAAGTAAATGAAAACAACAATAACAACGAAAAACGTGAAGATATACATAGATGTGACATATTATTGTATTAATTCGACAAGTAAAAAGACTTAAAAATAATTGAATAAAATGTTACTAAAGTATAGCAAAATCAGCGGTAATGGAGGTGCTGGCCCAAGTTCTTCCACATCATCAATTACCATGACAGGAACATATATCGCTCGTGGAACAGGTTTGTTTACTAAGTTTACTAGATACCTACTTTCAAGTATGTATGCATTTTATTTTCATTTAATAGATATATTACATGCAATATATGTAAGTACAAGTGAAAAATTATAAAAATATATACATAAATATATATATATATATATATATAAATGTGTGCGTACGTTATTATGTATATGTATGGTTGCATATGCACATTTTATTGATAATTTATGATGAAATAGAGAATACATGTACATATGTGGTTTTCTACTCTTAACAGTATGTGAAATTTCTTATGTTTCTCTTACTAGATTATAGCTCTTACTATTCACTATATTCACTTGGGCAAATATTTTCTTTTATTTGTAGCTGTGTTTTGCGGAGCGATTTAAGTCTCTCTTTCAGATATATATGTAGAACTCTTCAAAAGAATGATAGTTTATAAAATTGATCTGTTTGATTGAGTATTTATGATTGTTTGTTGACAAAATATCTTGTTGGAAAAAATATCTTTCTTATTTTCTTTAATTAAAAGTTATAAGCATTAGTATGAAATTTAATTTCTATAAGAATTTCTTACAAGATAATATGATCTCCCAGCAAATGAAATGACCACAAGCCAAATTGTATACAAAAATATTGTTTTGTTTTTTTTAGCGAAGCATACGTAATAAACGGAAATTATTATTGCGTTGGCCATAATGGTTTAGTTATTTTCAATGCTTCTTGATTTACGTTTGTGCGAAAGTATATGTTGTTCAACGTTTTATCATCTGTCGTACCAAAAATGTAGTCTTCGGCAGCCGACTAAGTAATCTTTCTTGCTTTGCCGCGCTTACCTGGCGAAAAAAATTTTATTTACAGTTCTTTTTGATGAACTATTCACTCACCATTCTTTGGGTGTTAGATTATACATAAGTAATCCCATTAAATACAATTTAGCGGTATGAACACTCGGAACAGGAATTTGTTTAATTGTTGGTGCAATTAAAGTCGAAAGGCAGTAATTTCTTCAAGCATTTTAGATTGAAATCTTCACAATGCATGTACGTACGTATGTACGCATTGAGTAATGATAAATAATAAGGTAATTTGGATAAAAAAATAATACTGTAATAAACGTATTGATATTGGAAACAACTAAACGCATTATAATATTAATCTTTTGCATTCCACCATTTCTTTTTTTCTCTTTCACAAAGCATTAACTCTTTAATTAATGGTTTCAAATAACATAATGTCGAGCCTGTGTCAACATAGTATTTGGGATAAAATAGACAATGTCAACAAAAAGTCGACATAATGATGTAAGGGGTGAAAGAAAAAGTTATAACAAAGCATTAAATTATGTACAAGCAATAAGTACGCTCAAGTAATAAGTATACAACAACAAAATACAATTGGGGCGTATCGTGTTTATGCCCGTGTTTATGTCGATTTATGCCCCCGCACGTGTTAGTGAGTACTAGAGGGAATATCCGAACGATCATTGTTCATTTGAATTTTTTCTGTGTAAAAAAAGAGTTAGGTGTATTTAAATGGCTACGTAAAGTAAACGAAACAAAAAAAAATTATATAAGAAAATGGTCGTTATATTACCTGTAATAAAGAAGTTTCCGAATGAAAAGCGTAAAATTCACCGCAAAAGTATAGAGCATCAAATGAGGGAATAGTGTTTTCAAAACTTCGAATGGATTCTCTTCGATTTCACTGTTTTACTTACACGCTTCTTTGTTTTAGTTTACGTGAACGACAAGTTTGCCATGTATTACGGGAGTCTTCTTTCGTTGTGGCGGACGGGACAGAAGGATAACAAAGACCTTCATTTTGTCATCGTGCTTACATAGAGAGGAAAACTCTTCGCATGGAAGTTGTTCGATTTTTTATTAGGAACTCATATATTCAATCGACGTGGAGAAAGTCAAGATCAAAATCTACAAGAACTCTTCATGATCACAACACATACATTAGTGGATTGTAGAGA